ATTTGTTGAAAACATAAATGAATGAATGAATTTGTGAAAATATAGGAGTTTACTCAGAATAAAAGCCTAGTCACCAAATGGTCCCCACTGACCCTGACCCTTCCCATTTAGAACTATCTAGCCCTCAGAAGGAACTGTATATCCTGGCTAAGACTCGACCTCTCTGGATCTCCATTTTTCCGGGCCGAGGCCTCACCTGCCAATGACGTCCTTAGGATCGTACTTCTGGTAAAACTCCTTGGCCGCGGCCCAGTCCGGTAGCTCATCCTCTGGCCCCACGTCCAGCGTCATTTTGAAGGAGGTGGGGGCCTGTGCGGAGGAAACGGAGAGCAGTGAGGGCAGGGAGGCCCACAAGCTCTGAGAGGACGCACATCGCGGCTCCCGGAGGCGCAGCCCTGGTGGCTGGGGCGCCAGGGTCCTGGGGGATGGGGGTGGGCGGGCGGATCCGGATGAGGAGACCCCGCCGAAGGGTCCTGGGGGAGGGAGGAGTGACAGGGGAGGGGAAAGGGGCGGGAGAGGGGAAGGAAAAAGGTATCCGGGAAGAAGGGGAAGGGGCACAAGGGCGGGCGGCTGTTGCCGCGCAGGCGCACTTTGTCAGGCGCTGGGGTGCGGCGCGGGGTGTCAGGGGGGCTCACCTGAGGGGGCGGGGAGAGCGTCCGGGGTCGCCGCGAGGCCGCTGGGACGCCGGGTTCGCCTCCGGTCACCTACCTTACCTGACTGGCGCCGCCGGCAAAAACCTCGGGCCCCGCCCCTATCCTGTCCGCCAATAGTCAAGCAGGCCGAAGACTGAGGTTCAGAAACCCTTCTGATTGGAAACTGGTAGTCCAATAGGAAGCTGAGAGTCCCGGAGCTGGAGCAGGCGTAAGAACCTGAAGTTACCTAGGGCTACGACGCTGAGGCAGGTCTTCAGAGCCAACCAATTACCGCACGAGCGGCAGAAGGTGGGGCTTGTTGTCAAGTTGATTAGGAGGCCCGGGATGGGACCCGGAAGTTAGGTTTCCCAGGAAGCTTGACCTCCGGCCAGCCCAAACGCGGGGCTTTTCTGCGTCTCTTGTTCCTGGGCTCACCCGGCCCTCCTCAGTCTCCTCCTAGCATCCCTGTCTGAATTCGACTCTTTATATTGGCCCGCCTCGAGTCCTGAAAACGCTCGGACGCACGCAGCCTGGACCCCAGCTTGGTCACTTGAAGCAGCCTGGGACAAGCCACGGCCCTTCAGCTAGAAGGGGCTGCCTCTTTCTGTAGCCCCTCGGACTCCCCTTGAGTACCTCCAGAACCCCAGCGTCCACCATCTGGGGTGACACAGCTTCCCAAGCTTCCACCACTTCTTCCCAAAAGCCTTGGGATGTTATCACGCAGTTCTAAGCCCACCAGATTGTCAGCTTCCACCAGGAGCGACTTACTTAATAAACCTCTTCAATGCATAGCTCAGCCCTGGCATTCACTTACTCGTTCAACAAGTGTTTGTTGAACATCAAAGCGCTAGGCGCTGGACTAACAATGCAAACAAAAAACCAAGTCCTTACCCTTGGGGAGGTTATGTTCCAGTGAAAGAAGCGCAGAATGAATACAGTCTTCAACAGCTATCTAAGAAATGTCACTTTGGGATCACAAACCATGCAAGAGAAGAATGAATCCAAGTAACTTTTTAACAATACCTTGACTTCACACCATGAATCTAAGCACAAAAGTACTGCAAAGAAATCTTGAACTTAGTAGGTTTGTTCTTGGTAGTAAAATGGGGTAATCATTCTGAAAATGAGCACATTAATCAACATATTGATGTAGCTGGGAGCCAGGGTTCTGTGTGAATATGGAATTTATGGAATTTGGGGTGTGGGAAAGGCCAGGAAGAGTGCTATGATGTTGGGCTGAAATTGGAAGTATGATTAAAAAATGGGTTCAAAATAGATAAAATTAGATATTTTCTAACTCTGACCTCTGAAAGTTCCTAACCTATTGCCCTCGAGTTGATTCTGACTCACTGCAACCTATAGGACTGAGAGCAGAACTACCTCATAAGGTTTCCTAGGCTGTAATCTTTACAGAAGCAGACTGTCACATCTTTCTTCTGTGGAGCTGTTGGTGGATTCAAACCGTGACCTTTCAGTTAGCAGCCAAGCGCTTTAACCACTGTGCCACCAGGAGCATTAGTATCATTAGAATGAACACACCCTAGTGTTCAGATATTGATTTCTAAATAACAGTAACAGCCCCCACTAAAAGGAGCCAAGTCTCCTTGGGAGAATGGACAATTCCCACACCAGAGCAGGGAAAGTACAAGATGAACCTAAACAGTTTGTGCCAAAAAGTTAGGAAGTACTCAGAATGATGAGGACTTATCACTTATCAAAAGGACACAGTAACCAGGTTGAAGGGGTTTCCACTGATCAAATCAGGGACAAAAAGAATAATGAGACTGAGGGAGCCCTGAGGGCGTCTTCTGATGTGCTGTAAATGTTCTATTCACCTGGGAATATTCATATATAAACATTCATCAACCTGTACACTTAAGATCTGTGCACTTTAATGCATGCAAATACTACCTCAGCAAAAAAGAATTTTGAGGATAATGACAGTAACGGATATGACAAATTGAATTAAAAACAATCCGAGTCCATACTGACACTAAATGTTGTAAATAAATAGAGAGGAAAATATCTTTATAGTAGAATGCCAACTAATAAATGTAGATGGAATGACAAAGTTAGAACATCAATGTTTGTCAAGCCTCAGTAATAACTGATTTGGGCAAAATTAACAGGGATTAAAATCATTGGTGGAAATGTGCTGGGGAACAGGATATTTATACAAATTAACTTTTTTATACAGATTATTTTTAAAGACAGACGCTACCTCAACCAAGCTGTCAATGTTACCACCACCAGTAACAGGACAAACTGATGTCATGTGCCTCCTGATGAGATGTACCGAGGACACACCACTTCTGTAGTATTTCTGCCAAAAATGCATAAGACTCTAAATTGAGTGACATTCTACTACTAGTGACCTCACTTCAAAAATGTCATGACCGGGATCACAATAGGGGTCCTGGACAGAGCTGGAAAAGGATGAGAACAAAATTCTAACTCACAAAAAAAAAAGACCAGATTTACTGGCCTGACAGACTGGAGAAACCCTGAGAGTATGGCCCCCAGACACCCTGTTAGCTCAGTGGTGAAGTCACTCCCAAAGTTCACCGTTCAGCCGGGGATTGGACAGCCTCATAAAACAAAACAGGGCTAATGAGGCACAGCAGTCCAGGGACAAGGAGGAGACATGAAAGCTGGTGATAGGGAACCCAAGATTGAGAAGGGACAGTGTTGACATGACATGTCATGGGGTTGTTAAACATTGTTATAGGGCAATATGTGTACAAAATGTTTAAGGAGAAACTATTTGTTCTGCAAACCTTCATCTAAGGTACAAAAAAAAAAAAAGAATTATCTATGTAGGATCAAATTGACAACAGCAACTCAGGGGGTTTGATGGGAGGCCTGGGGGCAGTGAGTTGAAGATAATGGTGATGGAATAATTTGGAAAAGGATAGTGAGAGTGGCAGCACAACTGGAAGAACGTGGTGATGTCACTGAATTGTACATGCAGAAACTTTTGAAATGGTGTAACTTTGCCTATGTATATTTTCACCAAAAAAAAGGTCCTCCAAGGTCGAGAAGGGAGAGTGTTGACATGTTGTGGGGTTGTTAACCTATGTCATAAAACAATATGTGTACTGACTGTTTAATGAGAAACTATTTGTTCTGTAAACCTTCATCTAAAGTACAATAAAAAAAAAAATTGAAATAAAAAAATGTCATGAAAGACAAAGAAGTGATGAGGAACTGTTCTAAATTGAAAAAGACTAAAAATACATAATTCAATACCATGAATGTTTCTGCACTGGACCCTAAAACTGAAAAGAAATTGCTATAAAGAATGTTACCGTGTTAACAGGCAAATTTTAATATAGATTATATACTAGAATACTACATCGATGTTAACTTCTCTGAATTATATAATTGTACTGTAGTTATGTGAGAAAATATCCTTGTTTTTAGGAGATAACATCATTGCAGTGCAATGGATCACTTTTATACGGCCTTTCTCGCCATGGTCTTGTAACTCCCATCAAATGACTGCGTGAGACTATGCCAATAAGGTGCTGGTGGCCCACTAAGGGGATTGGATAGCTTACTAATAATGCAAATAAGGTGCATGGCACCCTTGTGGGGGTGGGGCCATGCAAATAAGGTGTATGGAACCCTAATGAGGGGATTGGTCAGTTTTGCCATCCTGCTAGGCTTAAAATAAGCCATCCCAGAGGCAGAAAGGGGGGACCTCACTATCACCAAGAAGAAGAGCTGGGAGCAAAGTGTGTCCTTTGGACCTGGGGCCCCTGTGCTGACAATCTCCTAGACCCAGGAGATAGACAGAGCTATAACATGAGACGGTGCAAGACAGCCAGAAGCAGTGGCAGAAAAATGGCAGCAGCAGAATCAGGAGACCGGCATGAGACAACAGGGTGGGCTTCCCAGCCCATGGAAGAAGGCAGCTATAGTGGGTGTGCTGACCCACAGAAAGAGCTGAATGCCTTCAGGCAGGAGGCTTGGAGTGAGGTGCCTCTGGGCACTTGGCGGTGCTAGGCTCTCGACCCGCGGAGCAAGAGAGTTGAGCACCTCTGGGTCAAGGCTTACTGGCAGAGTGGAGTGTCTCTCTGGGCACTTACTGGTGGAGCTAAAGAGCTTGGTAACACTTACCCAAGCAGGGCAGAGGCCAGGCCAAGGGCCAAGGGGCCGAGGGCCAGCAAGAGGCCTGCTGTGGGCATGGCTGAGAAGAGGCTGTCCGGATGGAAGAACTGTATCCTGAGTTGTTCCTAATCCTGAATTGTAACCTGTTACTTCCCTAATAAACCCCATATTTGTGAATATTCTCTGTGGGTTCTGTGTGGCCATTTGCAATGAATTATCGAACCCAGCAGAGAAGTATAAAGTGCAGTGGGAGGGACGGCTGGTGTCAGAACTGGTAAAAAGGTTGGAGAGAGGAGGTATATCTAACTTCTGCCTCATAGGAATCAGCCTTGGGCTGTTGATCCTGATGGTGATCCTCCCACCTCGTGAAGTTAGAGAAGGTCAGAGGCCCCCTTGCCATCCTTACAATCATGAAGTATTTAGGGATGCAGGGCTTGCAAATTGCCCTCAAATAGTTCAGCATTAACAATAAGTGTATCTAGAAAGATATAAAGCAAATGTGATGAAATGTTAAAAATTATAAATCTTGGTGAAGAGTATACAGGAGTTCATTGTACTAATCTTTTATTGTTCTGTAGGCGTGAAACATTTTCAAAATTTATCAGAGTTTGGGGGAATGGAATATTCTCTTCTAGGAAACTGACACTCCTGATTAATCAGGCATTAGCTTAATTTTTTTTTTCCCATAAGTCTCTTAAAATGTGCTACCTTTCTTTCCCGATTTAGGAATTGGTAGAGTGAATACAACCAAACCTTTTCTAAACAGCAGTGGTTCTCAAATAATAGTGTGCTAGAATCAGTAAGGCTAAAAAATCCTGATGTCCAGGCAGTACCTCACACCAATTAAATCATAATCTCTGGCAGTGAAGCCCAAGCATAAGTATTTTTTAAAGCTCCCTAGATTATTCTATTGTGAAGCCAAGGTTGAGAAACTGCTGCCCTATATATGGCTTCTAGTCATAATTCTAACCTCTGGGACCACCAATGGATTCATGTCACTTTTCCTTCCTGGAACCCTTCAGAACACTGAAGGCCACCATCGTGTGTCTCTTCTTCCCCTCTAATCTCTCTTCAGTGTGCAACATCTCTAATTCCTTTAGGTGCCCTGCTGGTCTCTGAATTATGGTGAAGTAACCCAAAAGTTCCATTCCCAAGACATATGTACACCAAGAAACATTAAAAGACACAGCTACGTGATTCATAATATCTCCAAATTGGAAATACCTCAAAAGTTTAGCCACAGAAAATGGATAAACTGTGATATATTCATATAATGGAATATTATACAGCAATAGAAACTACAGCTATGTAGAACATCTCACAAACATAACATTAAATAAAAGAAGCTAAACATAAAAGACAATATATATGGTTCCATTTACATAAAGTTCAAATGCACGCAGAATTCAACTACATTGTTAGAAGTCAGAATGGTAGTTACCTGTGTGAAGAAAGGAAGGAAGGAGTGGTGACTGGGAGGGGCATGAAGGAGACTTTGAAGTGCTGGCAGTGCTTAATTTCTTGACTGAATGGTGGTTATTCAGCTATTTGCTTTGTGTTAATGTATTGAGCTGTACACTTGTTTTGAGTACTTTTCTGTATGTGTGATACACTTCACAATTAAAAAAAGTTTAAAAATTATTGCGAGGCCCAAGATATACAATGTAAAAATCCATTGTAATCATACAAATTTTTACATACACCATGGTTGCTGCTGTTACCCAACCCTTTTACTCTTCTCTCTACTCTGCAACCAAAATGTCTGGGTTTAATCTCTGCATTGCCACTTACTAGCTGTGTGACCTTGGGAAATCTGTGCCTCAGTTTCCTCAGCTATAAAATGAGGATAATGTTAACTATTATTGAGTCATCATGTGGACTAAAGGAGTTAAGAAATATGAAGTGCTTAAAACACACCTAAAATACACCAAATAATAAAGAGTAGCTGCTGCTACTACTTATCCTCCCTGGCCTCGGGCCTCTGTTGATGTGTAATGGAGAAGCTAGGGTCTTTCCAAGAAGGGAAACTTCCAGAAAAAGAGCTCCTAGGTAAGATGAGATCCAGGCTCTGCCCTCAGTTGGAGGTCTAGACAGGCTCTTACCAAGGGCCCAGGGGAAAGCAGGGGAACCGCAATTAGACAAGAGCATTTCAGCACTAAAAAAGGTTTTTATTACAAAACAAATTATAATAAAATCAGGCCTGGTCTCCAACCCTGCTTCTCAGCAGAGGCCCTTCAGATGGGGTGGGGGAATATGCGGTGGTGGGTGCTGAAAGAACAGAGCGGGCTAACCTCCTCTCATCAGTCTCAACTGGTGCCCTCCTCTTATAAAGGGCCAGAACAGCTCTTCTCAAAGCTCCTTGGGAGAGACACCATCCTTCCAGCCAGACAAGGGCCACTGCTGGCACTGTACCCCAGCAAGGCTGCACTGCAGGATCCAAGAAGTCTCAGCCGACCCTCAGCAGAGGCCACCCAGGGTCACTCAGCCTGGGCGATGGCGTAGGAGAGCAGCAACAGCAGCAGGGGGCCCAGAACAAGGACAGTGAGCCAGACAGCAAAACTGGCCAGGATGAACCTCCGGGCCCGGGCCCCCCAGTGCACTGCCTCCTTGGACCGGCCTGCCTTATGCCGCTCTTCTGCCTGTGGGGGCAGGTTCTTCGTTAGATTCTCTCCCTGCTTCTGCTCCAAAGTGCCCGTTACCCCCATTCCACTCCACTCCCCCATCCCTATCGTGGGTCAAAATCTCACACCCAAACAATCAACCTCCCTTTCCAGCTTCTGTCTCTGTCTCTTATCTGCAAGATAAGGGTATTCACCTCTGCCCTGCCTATGCCTCAGGGTGACCAAGGTTAGCTCCCAAGATCACATATGGGAAAGCATTTTTCAATCCTTGTATTCCCCATCCTTTTCTACCCATCCTAGAGTCATTCAGAATTTGGAATTCTTGGCAAGAACCAGTGAGCTTGGAGTATTTCACACATACTCAAACAACATCACATTCTAATATCCCAAAGAGTCTCATGTCTTTCATCATTAAGGATCCTTTTAATGATTTTGCGCTAATGAAACACAGAAATTCTTATGATTATAGAAACAGTTATAAACCCTATTAACAGAGTTATAGGGTTGCCATAATGAGCTAAAAAAATTCCAGCATGATCAGCATGATGTTTCAGTTACAAAACACACATGTGCAGTATCTGTTAGGTTTTTTGAGACGCTGAAGTCCTCTCAAGGACCCCATAACTACTTCCAGTCTCCTAGAGATTGTTGCTCTCATCACTGCTCAGCTGTCTCCAGTTTTGCCCCTCTAATTCACCCTCCATACAGGCCATGAATGGATCTCTCTGAAACACAAATCTGATCTTGTCACTCTCCCCTGTGAAAACCCTTCAACGGTTCCCCAGTACTTTCAAGATAAAGCCCAAACGCCTAAGCACAGCATTCCAAGAATCTGGGCCCTCTGGCTTTATCTCGCACTATCCCCTCATTAGCCCAGCCATGCTGAACTAATATTCTAGTCCCTTTACCCGGAATGCCCCTTCACCCTTATTCACTCATCCTTTAAGCTTATTTTCCTGTCACCTCCCCTATGATGCCTTCCTTGATACCTACCCCACCATATTCACATATATAATCACAAACACATATCCTCCCTGGTTCCCAGAGTACACTGGGTTTCCCTCTATCATGGCACTGATGAGTTGCATTCTGTTTATTTTAACCATTTTACTGCCATCTCTTTCATTAGACTATGAACCCTTTAACAGCAGGAACCATGTCTTATTCTTATTTCTGGCACTCAGCCCAGAGCCAAGCACTGACAGGTACAGTGACTTTGAAAATGCAGATAGATCAGATATAGAAAACCATTGCCTTACACCCACCCGCCTGCTTCCACTGGAATCACATTTCTCACCTTGATGGCAAACACAAGAGCCATGACTCCCAGGCAAGAACAACCACATACAACGCTAGTAGCTGCCAAGTAGCGGAGGCGGAGCCAGCAGCAGTGGGTGGGGGATGGAGAATGAGCAGCCTCCGTGTTGCTCACCAAGATCTCCATTGCCTTCTCCTCGTCCTCCATCACCTGTGGATGATAGTCAAGGTACCTGTAAGCCCCAAACTGAGCCCTTGGCCTGGCTTGCTCAGTCAGACTCCACCCCTCTCAGAGCATTCTGTCCTCATGGCCTAGCCCAACTCTCAGGAATGCTGCCTTGCTGGGGAATTCCTCTAGTGACTCACACACCAGGAGAGGAAATGTGTGACTGGAATCTTTTTTCCTCAGCTTAAGATTCCCTCAAGTATTTGAAGGCAAGCCAGTATGAAAGTAGCATTATCTGTTACTTACTGATAAACAGGGAGAAGCAATGACAGGTGCACACTGAGAAGCAGGAAACACAGAATTCTAAATGCTGTCAGGAGTCTGAGACCATCTAAGCCAGTGATTTCACACTGTATTTCAAAGGGCCTTAGAGTTCCTTGAAGTTCCCCCGAGATTGCCCCTGAGTATTAAGGATGATCAGAGAGCGGGACCCTAGGTCCTCCACCCCACTTCAAGTAAAGCAGCCACTTCATGTGAAAACACAGTTTGGGGGCGGGGTAAGAAAAGGTAGAAACTACCTATGCCTTTTACATATATACAGTTTAAGAAACTAAACACCAGAAAGACCTTACTTTCCCAGTTGGGATCTTTTGCTATGTGACTCCCTCCACTTCCTCTCCATTTTAACTCAGGCCCCCATCAAAATTAGATGAACACTCCCAAATGATCTCATCGCCTACACAGAAACATGATATCTTATGCAATTTCTCATCTTTCTATTTCTCAGGTCCTCTGAGCTCTGGAATCAAACCACCTTTCCACCCTCATCTTCAACCACTCCCCTGCATCCTAGACAAATTGAGAACGTGTTGTTACCTGAACGCAGGTGACAATGGATAAAGGAGTAAAAGAGGCAAGATAAGCAAAGAACGAAGAATATGAGGCACAAAGCTGCATGGTAGTGAGTGTGAGGAAAGAACTCAGACGAGGTAAACACAGATATAGTCAGCTAGTGAAGAACACAAGAAGGTCCAAGGAGTTCAGGTCAGAACTGTAAAAAGGAACAAAGGCTCTTACCTGGCTATAGGCCTTGAGGGACTGTGAGTTTCGGCTCCTGCCTCGGGTTTGATTTGGCTTGGGTGGAGAACGAGCTGACTCAGGACTCCAAGCCAAGCCCAGGGGCGGGGTTGAGTGGCCACCCCACTACCTGAGGAAGTCCAGGAGCTGGGAAAGGGGTGTGGCTGACTCAAACCAGTTTGGCTGCATAGAGAACAGGGGATGGTTAAGGGATGAAGCGACTGGAGGTGGGAAGCCTGCCTTCTCGAAAAGGAGTGCCAAGGAAACACCTGAGCAAGACAGATAAAAGGGAAAAGTCTGAGGCATCAGAGAGCTCGAAGGGAAAGTCCAAGAACCAAAGGGATTGAAGGAAGGGAAAGGAAAGGTGTAAGAATCTACATGACTTAATATCCTTAGGGAAAGGCACCCTACCAGGAGATCAGATCTGCCAATCTTCCTTTTTCTTGGGTGGAGATTTTTGCCTCAAGGTACATATAATCCAGGGTTGGAGATCAGGCACTGGGGTTTTGGCAAGAGCAAGAGGGAAAAAAACGATGCCCAAGTTCCCTCCCAACCCTCCACCAGACCAGAAAATCAGAAGCCTCCTTACGCGGATGCTCGTACAGAAACTAAGTTTATTATTTTTTCTTCTTTAAAAAAAAAAAAAAAAAAAAAAACCTCATTGTGGAGAAGCCCCTCCCCCTTCCCCTAAGGGTGGGGGGCTATGAAAGATAGCTGGCAAATCAAGTACAAGGGGGTGGGGACAGAGACTATCTTGCCACCCTTAACACTGCCCAACCATGTGGGGTGGAAAGGAAAGGGGGGGTTAAGAGACGCATTTCCATGACAACCAGTTGCCTACCCCCTACTTTGGTGGAAAGAAGGGAGAAGGCCCTTAAGTCTCCCTGGAGGCTTTACCCCTTCAAAAAACTTCAAGTAGTGGTTAACAGAGTCAGGCCTGGTTGTGGGGAAGAGGGACCATGGCGGGAAGCCTAGGTGGAGAGGCATCCCACTCACGTCTTGGCCTTGCGGCCTCTGTGACTAATGATAGAGCCAGCCAGGTGGGGAGGGGCACTGCTGCGCAAGATGCGCTGGTCCCCTTGGTTGGTCCCACCAAGCCGGCGGGGGCCAGGCTTGCGGCGTGGGGTCCCATCCCCTTCCTCCTCCTCACCTGAGGCTTCAGCCTCAGACTCCTCTATAGAACCCTCAGGCCCCAGGGGGCTTGGGGGCTGAGGACGGCCTCGCTTTGCCTGCCCAGGACCCCCACCAATTGGAGCCCCTGCCCGTTTGCGAGGCACCTTCTCGGTCTCTAGTGGGGGGACTAGAGACCCTGGACGCAGCCGGGTCGAGCGCAGTTTTGGGGCTAACGAGACCACAGGAGGAGTCAGTTCCAACCCGCCTGGCCCACTCTCCGCTAAATCCAGGTCATCTTGAATTACAGCCACCACCATGGACCCTTCACTCTTTCGTCCCCGCGTTCCCTCTGCTTCAAGTCGTAGGCGGGCCAGGCGGGTGAGGGGGCGGCCTCCATCTTCATCAGAAGAACTGCCCTCACTGTCTCCCTGGCCCTGGGGTTGCTGCTGCTTCCCCAGTCCACAGCTCTCAGCGACCGAAGAGCTGTCACGGTCCAAGACAGGGAGCTGACTGGGCCGAGGTGATGGTGGATTCTTGGGAGGTCGGCCCCGCTTGCGCTTGGGTGGGGACGCTGAAATAGTGACGGTGGTGACAGTGTTGGCGACACTAGCGGTGGGACAGGCTAGGAGTGGTGGGAAGGATGGCAGGGGTGGCGGGAGTGGGAGTGGCTGTGTCCGGCTCTCTAAGTTGCCATTCCCTGGAGAAGAAATGGTCCCAGGGATGGGCAAATCTCGTGCCTTAGGAGGCCGCCCACGCCTTCTTTTCTCCACAGGTGACAAGATGATGGACTCATGTTTGTGAACTGACTGGGGTCCAAGAGGGTGGGACCCAGGAATAAGCTGGGGTCCTACAACAGGCTCCGCAACAATGAGGGTCTCTGCCCCAGGGACTGGATCAGCCCCATTGGTTTTTCCCTTAGAGGTGGATGAGGGTGCTTCATCCACCCCTTGCCCAGAATCTGCCGGAGACCTGTTTTTTTTCGGGGGCCTCCCTCTCCGGCGCTTCACAGCAGGTGGGGTGATGTCAAGCAGCGCCCTTTCTCCATTCTCTGGGCTGCCTCCACCAGTCACCCCCAACTCAATGCGACGACGAGCTATGAAGGGTTGCTGGGTTTGGGTGGGCAGTGTGGATGGCGGAGAAGCTTCACAGGGCCCGCTCGTGGGAGGTGAAGAATCCCGCCCTGACGTGCTGCGGGTAGATGGGCTTCCCAGGCTTGCACCCGTCTCAGAAACCACAGGTGCTGGGGTGCTGGCAGTTCCCCGTTGCTGTCGCCGTCTCCTCACCAGCTCCTTCTCCTCTACCACAGTTACTAGCCGTCCTGGCAGCTTGCGAAGCACTTTGGGGCCCGGAGGCTGCCCTGGACGACCAGCCCCCTGACCCCGAATTTCTACATCGGCACTGGTGCGACGCCGAGGTGGCCGGGCTGGTGAAGGACTCTCAGGTGAGGAGGTGACTGAGGATGAGGTTGATGGGGCTGTGACCTCTGCTGTAACAAGTTCCTGCAGCTTCTCTGGGCTGGAGATTGGGGTCTGGGCCTCTATCAGCTCTTCAGAGTTCCTGGGAGCCTCCAATGGCACCTGAAGTAGCTCATCAGATGCTACAGAGGGTGGGAGCTCCACCCCATTGCTCTCATTCAGACACATGGGTACCCCCTCACCATCAGGCAGCACTGCAAGAACTGTCCCCTGGGCAGGTTCTGGCACCTCCTGTTCTTGACCATTAAGGATGCTGCCAGCCTCCAGGATTGGGCTAGGTGCAGAAGGAGTGAGAGAAAGGTTCTTCTCTGACATGGGCAGGACTTCAACAGCAACTGGCAACAGCTCCTCGGGGGACACAAGAGTGAGTGGGGAAGCCTCAGAACTGGCCATGCCAGTGAGCTCCAGGGACTCAGGAGATGCCAATGCTTGTGCACACAACTCTGCCTCAGGCCCTAAGCCCAAGGGGAGGTTCGTGCCAGAGGGGGAAATAGGCACAGAAGATGGACCAAGCAGAAGAGAGGAGGAAGGAGTTAGAAGAGGGGTAGGTGCTGGTGGGGGGGTATGAGCTGGTGTGGGGGTGTGAGCTGGTGGGGGGGTACAGGCAGGAGGAGGAGTACAGGCAGGAGAACAAGAGGGAGGAATCTGGGAAGGAGGAAGAGGGGGAGGAGGAGGCAAGATATGGACAGGAAGAATGGTTATTGGATTTGGGGATGAAATGGGGACCGGGACAGGGACTGGGACAGAGACTGGGGTAGCAGGAGCTGGAGTGGGTCGAGCCCTAGGCGCCAGCCGGGGAGTTCGCTCCCTGGCAGGGCTGCTGCAGGGGTGTGTGGATGTACTACGGGTATGTTGGGTAGGTGTGACGGGAGTGTGGTTTGCCCCTTGAGTCTCAGCCCGGGCTCCACGAAGACGCTCACTGACTCGAGTCCCCGGCCTCTCAGGAGCCTTGATCTTCTTACTGCGCCGGTGGCTGCCTCCACCTGTCCCACAGGAAACCTCATCCCCAGCCCCTGGCCCCTCCTCCTCCTCTTGGGGTAGGCGAAACACCTCTTCCTTGGCTTGGTCCAGGTCCTTGCGGGCAGCTTCCACTTGCTCCTGCCAACAACAGAGCCCAAGGGGTGGTCAAAGTGTGGCGAATAGAGTGGGAGTGGGTAGAAATCAGCAGCCTCCCACTTCCAGCTCCACCCCCTAAACACACTCACTTCTGCCTGTTTGAGCTCCTCACGGCTCACTTCCTCCAGCGAGGCTTCCAGGAATTTCATGGCATAGCGCTCAATGGGAGTCAGCTGTGGGGAGGAGGAGTAGTGATGAACAGATGGACTGGTAGCCAGAGCTCATCACCTTTTTTTAGTATTACCAGATAGAAAGAGAGTCACAGAGCCTGAGGGAGGGAGTTGTGAGGGGTGAGGTTGAGAACTAGCGAGTCCAACACTGACCTGTTCTACAAGGGCAGCTATTTCCTGCTCAGCCCGGGACATCTCCTCATCCTCAGCCCCAGGCCGACTGGCCTCTTCTCCCTCACCAGCAGGAAACCCATCATTCTCATTGAATTCTGCAAGCTCGGCCACCTGTTCAGCCTTGGCCTGAGTGGCCGCACGGATATCTTCTTCATCCTCTGCTCGACACAATGCCTGCAAGGGTGGAGGAAAGAAAAAACTATCATACCTGCCTGAAGGAACTTTACCATCCTGGAATTTGATTCTGGCAAAAATTTGAGGCCAAGTTTACACCAAACCAGGTTTGCAACAGAACTCCTCAATGCCCTTGTGGGTCCTCAGAGTTACCAAAGCAACTCTGTGGTTCATGTTAAGGATGGAATGGATTTGACCAGGACTCCTACTAGGGACAAAATGATTGTTGTGGGGACATCTAGCTCTACTTCCTTTCCTTTGAGTCAGCTTTAGAGCTCTGGATAACAAAAAGCCTAAAATTCTTTTTTGTATTGACATACTTCATGACAATTCTCTTCAACAAACTAACCACATCTGATCTTTCCCTTGAGATGAATATCCAGAGATCACACTCAAGTCACCGAGGGAAGTGGCCTAGAACATGCTCAGCCATGAGGCAAAGGCCCTCAGTAGGGAAAAACATCTCTATGATGCTTTACACATCTGGGGAGCTTTGGAGGAAAACCACCCAGACCCCACCATGCAAAATTAGGATTTAGTAGACTTTGAGATGGCATCTAGGTATCTATTTTGAAAAGCTTTCTAAGTGATTCTACTATGCATCAATATTTAGAAAACAGTGTTTTACACTATGTACAAAGCACTTCTTACATCCATTATACCATTTAATCCTGAGAGTTACTTCCTTCTCATTAGCACTTCAGAGTAGTGGAAAGTGAGGCTCAGAGGAATAAACAGACTTGGCTTAACAGACACAATTATTATGATGTAGATGCACTGTTAGAATTAAAACCTAGAACTTAGATCCAAATTCTGTCTTCCTTCTACTAAATCATGTGGACCAATAAACAATATACTTGAACTATCAAAGGCTGACCATAATCTGGTAAGCAGCAGAAACAGTCCTTTCTCCCCTGGACAAGCTGAAGAGACTAATAAAAGACAAAATATGCTGCAATCATTAGCTCTACTTTAGGGATTGCCCACTCTTTTCACCTGCTCCAGGATATGGGTCTGCTTGCTAGCCACAGCCTCTTCCTCCTCTTCAGGGGCGGAGGATACAGATGAGTTAGATGGCTCCTCTAGCGGCATATCAAACAGCTCTCGGATGGTCTGCTATTGGAAAGGACAGAGGGAAAAGAGTCAGTGCCACAATGGTTCTAGGTCTAGAGGTATAAGGCTGATAGCTCTTGGAAGTATCAGAGGCACCAATGGTGGGAGAGGACTGGTCCGTGGAGGCCGAGGCAGCTCCTCTTTAATAAGCAAAAGGAATGTCTACAGATATAGCAGCTCTCTTCTGCAGCAACTAAAAGATCTTAGTAAACCAAAACTAAACCCATCACTGTTGAGTTGATTCTGACTCAC